CTTCTCGACACACTTGGTCGGAAAAGCTTCATCTGAGTGTTTGCAGGGGCCGCTGTGCTGTGTGTCGAGCTGCAGTCAGACAGAAGATGCTGCTATTTTAATGTTTAAAGAGTTGATCGCCTTTGTTTCTATAACATTTAATACAGTACAGATTATATAAATTGTTAGAGAAGGATGAGCGCACAAACGCCATCCCGGGGCTTTCACAGTCTGTTCATGAGGCAAGACTGAGATGATAATGAGACTCATCTGAGCACTGCTTTCACCTGTGTGACAAAGCTCATCTCTCTTCTCATCTCATTCTCTTGTCTCATCTCAGCTCTCATCTAGTCTTCTCTTGAATATCTTGATTCATCTCATCTCATCTCGTCTTGTCTCATCTTGTCTTGTCTCATCTTGTCTCATCTCATCCTCTATTCTTGTCTCATCTCAGCTCTCATCTAGTCTTCTCTTGAATATCTTAATTCATATAGTCTCATCTCGTCTCATCTCATCTCATTCTCTACTCTTGTCTCATCTCAGCTCTCATCTAGTCTTCTCTTGAATATCTTAATTCATATAGTCTCATCTCGTCTCATCTCATCTCATTCTCTACTCTTGTCTCATCTCAGCTCTCATCTAGTCTTCTCTTGAATATCTTAATTCATATAGTCTCATCTCGTCTCATCTCATCTCATTCTCTACTCTTGTCTCATCTCAGCTCTCATCTAGTCTTCTCTTGAATATCTTAATTCATATAGTCTCATCTCGTCTCATCTCATCTCATTCTCTACTCTTGTCTCATCTCAGCTCTCATCTAGTCTTCTCTTGAATATCTTAATTCATATAGTCTCATCTCGTCTCATCTCATCTCATTCTCTACTCTTGTCTCATCTCAGCTCTCATCTAGTCTTCTCTTGAATATCTTAATTCATATAGTCTCATCTCGTCTCATCTCATCTCATTCTCTACTCTTGTCTCATCTCAGCTCTCATCTAGTCTTCTCTTGAATATCTTAATTCATATAGTCTCATCTCGTCTCATCTCATCTCATTCTCTACTCTTGTCTCATCTCAGCTCTCATCTAGTCTTCTCTTGAATATCTTAATTCATATAGTCTCATCTCGTCTCATCTCATCTCATTCTCTACTCTTGTCTCATCTCAGCTCTCATCTACTCTTCTCTTGAATATCTTGATTCATCTCATCTCGTCTGGTCCCGTCTTGTCTCATCTCATCCTCTACTCTTGTCTCATCTCAGCTCTCATCTACTCTTCTCTTGAATATCTTGATTAATTTCATCTCATCTCGTCTTGTCTCGTCTCATTCTCTTATCTTGTCTCATATCAGCTCTCATCTACTCTTCTCTTGAATATCTTGATTCATTTAGTCTCGCCTCGTCTTATCTTGTCTCGTCTCATTTCGTCTCGTCTCATCTCGTTCTCTATTCTTGTCTCATCTCAGCTCTCATCTACTCTTCTCTTGAATATCTTGATTTATTTCATTTCATCTCGTCTTGTCTCATCTCATTCTCTTCTCTTGTCTCATCTCAGCTCTCATCTACTCTTCTCTTGAATATCTTGATTCATTTAATCTCGTCTCATCTCATTCTCTTCTCTTGTCTCATCTCAGCTCTCATCTACTCTTCTCTTGAATATCTTGATTCATTTAGTCTCGTCTCATCTCATTCTCTTCTCTTGTCTCATCTCAGCTCTCATCTACTCTTCTCTTGAATATCTTGATTCATTTAGTCTTGCCTCGTCTAGTCTAGCCTCGTCTTATCTCGTCTCGTCTCATTTCGTCTCGTCTCATCTCGTTCTCTATTCTTGTCTCATCTCAGCTCTCATCTAGTCTTCTCTTGAATATCTTAATTCATATAGTCTCATCTCGTCTCATCTCATCTCATCCTCTACTCTTGTCTCATCTCAGCTCTCATCTACTCTTCTCTTGAATATCTTGATTCATCTCATCTCATCTCGTCTTGTCTCATCTTGTCTTGTCTCATCTTGTCTCATCTCATCCTCTATTCTTGTCTCATCTCAGCTCTCATCTAGTCTTCTCTTGAATATCTTGATTCATCTCATCTCATCTCGTCTTGTCTCATCTTGTCTTGTCTCATCTTGTCTCATCTCATCCTCTATTCTTGTCTCATCTCAGCTCTCATCTAGTCTTCTCTTGAATATCTTGATTAATTTCATCTCATCTCGTCTTGTCTCGTCTCATTCTCTTCTCTTGTCTCATATCAGCTCTCATCTACTCTTCTCTTGAATATCTTGATTCATTTAATCTCGTCTCATCTCATTCTCTTCTCTTGTCTCATCCCAGCTCTCATCTACTCTTCTCTTGAATATCTTGATTCATTTAGTCTTGCCTCGTCTAGTCTAGCCTCGTCTTATCTTGTCTCGTCTCATTTCGTCTCGTCTCATCTCGTTCTCTATTCTTGTCTCATCTCAGCTCTCATCTACTCTTCTCTTGAATATCTTGATTTATTTCGTCTCACCTCGTCTCGTCTAGCCTCGTCTTATCTCGTCTCATCTCATTTCGTCTCATCTCGTTCTCTATTCTTGTCTCATCTCAGCTCTCATCTAGTCTTCTCTTGAATATCTTGATTAATTTCATTTCATCTCGTCTTGTCTCATATCATTCTCTTCTCTTGTCTCATCTCAGCTCTCATCTACTCTTCTCTTGAATATCTTGATTTATTTCGTCTCGCCTCGTCTCGTCTAGCCTCGTCTTATCTTGTCTCGTCTCATTTCGTCTCATCTCGTTCTCTATTCTTGTCTCATCTCAGCTCTCATCTACTCTTCTCTTGAATATCTTGATTTATTTCGTCTCGCCTCGTCTCGTCTAGCCTCGTCTTATCTTGTCTCGTCTCATTTCGTCTCATCTCGTTCTCTATTCTTGTCTCATCTCAGCTCTCATCTACTCTTCTCTTGAATATCTTGATTTATTTCGTCTCGCCTCGTCTCGTCTAGCCTCGTCTTATCTCGTCTCGTCTCATTTCGTCTCGTCTCATCTCGTTCTCTATTCTTGTGTCATCTCAGCTCTCATCTACTCTTCTCTTGAATATCTTGATTCATCTAATCTCATCAAACCTTGTCTCATCTCATCTCCTCTCATCTCACCTCTGCTCTAGACTTTTCTCATATTATATTATCTCTCCTTTAGTCTCATCTCATTTGTGTTATATCATAACTTGTCTCTTCTCATCTTGTCTCATCTAGTCTCACCTCATCTAGCCTCCGCTCATCTCCTATCATCTCATCTTGTCTCACCTCACCTCTTGATTTGTCTTGTCTTTCCTCTCATATCACCTCTTCTCATCTAGTCTCACGACTCATCTCATCAAACCATGACTCATCTCTGTCTCGTCCAGGTCCGTAAGAGCGGTAAGAGTCTGCTGATGACAGAAAACATTCTTCAAAATAACGTATTTTGTGTTTGACAAAAGAAAGAAAGTCATACGGGTCTGAAATAACTTTGGGGAGAGTAAAAGATAACAGAATCATACATTTCGTTTAATAGTCCATATGATTTTGCTATATATTCCATGTCATCTAAGGTTTGGTTTATGTGATGAACAGATACATATTTGAATTCATTCAATTCATGATGTCCAGATCAGGGTTGCCAGGTTTTCACAACAAAACCCGCCCAACTGCAACTCAAAACTAGCCAAAAACAAGCCCAAATGCATTTCGAGGGGATCCCCAGTAAAAATCGCGTTCTGCGGGATAAAATTCAGGGTTTTTTGGCAGGGTTCCCCTAGTAAAATTCACATTGATCTGATCTCAACTATATTTCACTGTATATTTAATTTGATATGCTTTATCATGTCATATTCGCGGTCAACAGCTGGCGTGGGTCAGTGTGACCGTGACGTTGCCCTGCGCCAGAGAATACACACGGAATATGCATCATAATAGAAACCTTAGCAAAGAGCATGCATCCCAGAATCCTTCACTCGGCGCTCTTTAGCCCTGACCCCCAGAGTCCGGCTGTCGAGTTGAATTGTTTGGCTGTATAAACGGAGTGAAGCGAGCAGATTTAGCACATGCTGCCACAGCACCTCACTGATAGAGCCGTGATTTACCGCATCTATAAACGCCGCCATCTGACAGACAACCGACTCACCATGAGCACCCTTGGAGCCCGCTCCCCTAACGCCGCAGATTTAACAAGTTTGGTCCAATAACTAAAGCCAAAGTCTAAATGTAGACTTATTATTGTCATTATTAGTATACATCACAACTGTACGCTAACATAATTTTTTTCTCTTATTTATTATTTCTCTCCCTATCATATATTAAAAGGCTGTGGAAAGTGTTTACATTCTATGTTTATTCATATATCTATCTTTGGTTTTGATATAGGCTATCCCTTTTTGTTGGTGGTGGTGATTTTTGTTAATTTTTCTGTAATTTGTTATGTCTACTGTCATTTTTCAATTTGTCACATTCTCAATTTAAAAATAAAATAAAATAAATAAATAAATAAAAATAGTAATAATAATAAAATAAAAACCAAAATCCAGAGAGAGAAACATTTTTATAAAGTTGAAAGCAATTGAAAGTTATTTTTTTACTTTTAAATTATTTATGCTCATCAAAGGCAAAACAGAAAAATTGACAGTAGTGGATTCTTACTTAAAAAAAAAAATTATAATACATTAATGCATAAAAAAATGACCAAGTATAATAAATAAATTAATTAATAGTTGTGATAAAGAATTTGAAATGCATATAAATATCATTAATTCATTCATTCATAAAATTGTCATATATTTGGATTTTTGCATGAATGAACTAATAAAGTTAAAGGGGTCATGAAAAAAAAAACAATAACTAAAGCCAAATGGTGTTTTAATGAGCACTAATGACCGTTGTGAATGGTGCTTTCCTCATCTTCGCGCGCCGTTGTGTAAAGCCTCACCTTCTCGAACCCTGTGGGACTCCTGTGTGTGGCATTTTGAGAACGTGTCCATTTATCACTGTGCTTATGAGCTTTCTCTTTCCTCCGCAGATCGTCTTTGAAGCGGTGACCTCCGGGCAGCGCGGCTTGCTGGCCATCAAGAACGTGGTCCTCAAGGGCCATCAGTGCAGTAAGACTCTTACCGTCTCTGTCGTAAAAGCTCCCTCATCACCCGCGCCTTGGCCTTTTCCTGCCACCCTCCAAATATCAGTATCGTCTGTCTTTCTCCAGGCATTGAAGTCGAGCCATAAAAGAGAGTGTAATAAAGAAAACAAAAGACAGAACAGAGGAGAGAAGAAGACGATAAAGCTTTCATGTAGTGCTGGAGAGATATCAGGGTGTAAAAGAGACGCTGTTATCAGGATGAATGGAGGAGGGTGGAAAGGGTCAAGAGGGATTCTGCTGTCTACATAGGCAGCACACTTACAAGGCAGCTTTTATTTAACTGTTATGGAACCTGGGAACTTGATTTTAATAGATTTGTCAGTGTTTGTTTGGATTCATATATGGGTCAAAGACGTTAAGTTGTCCGCATCAAAAGAAGTAAAGTGTCTACTTTTAAGGTTTCAAATAAGTTTTTGAAGGATAAAATGTCAAAATTTGGTTGAAATAATGTCACGTTGTCATTCAGTGTAACACAATATTTATGTAAAAATTCAAACAACATGCTCATTCTGACCTGTACATATTAAAATATATAAAAGAATAAGAGAGCATGTTAAATTTTATTGTGCTTTAAATGAGTAAAAAAAACTTACTGACAAATGGGCAAAACCTCGGATACATTTTAAAAATTTAAAATTACAACTAATTAGTATTTGGGGTGAATCGGGAAAATTTAGGATATTTATTTTTTGCTCGGAAAAACAAAAACAAAATCGCAATTAAATTAAACAGAAGATTTCTTTTAAATTTTGGGGGGGGACAACACTTTAAAGCAGTATTACACTTATTGTTCTTGTGCTTAAACCCTTTTTCGTTTTTGACCCATATATATAAAAAAAGCTGATATATAATATATATATATGTGTGACACTGAAGACTGGAGTAATGATGCTGAAAATACAGCTGCACATCACAGAAATAAATTACAGTTTAGCAGATATTTACATAGAAAACAGCTGTTTTACATTGTAATAAGATTTCACAATTTATTTTTGATCAAATAAATGCAGACTTGGTGAGCAGAAGAGACTTCATTCAGAAACATAAAACAATCTGGATTATTCCAAACTCATGCATATACATAAAAACAGTTAATTAGTGTATTTTTTTTCTCCCAATAATGCTTTTCATTATTGAATTAAATATGCATTGACTGCTGAAAATTCAACTTTACATCACAGGAATTAATTACATTTTAAAATATGTAATAAACAAAATAGGAAACAGTTCTTTTAAATTATATACTGATGAAATATACTGAGTAATAACTGATTCAAAAAAAAAAAATGTAAGTACTTGTAATTAGATTGTTTTAAAATGCTAATAATCAGATTACAGTTACTGTTTAATGGATTACAAGTGAATAATTTACTGCTGCCATTGCGTGAATAATAATATTTTTTGAATCTCCCCAATTCTTCTTTTTCCTCTTTTAAATTTTCCTTTCTAAAAATCCAACTGTGTGTCATAATGTGTATCTCTGTTTATCTCATACTGTTATTATGTTCGCAATATAGAATGCCCATGAGATGCATACTGTAGTACATACTGTCTAAATATATAAATAATGCAGTTTAAAACAGACGTGTGCAGATGCTGATGAATGAGACTGTAACACCAGTGTTTGATTGGATTATCCTCGTATTAACTGTTTATTGTTCAGTGATTGAATGCAGGCACAAAATGCAAATAGAATGCACATGGAATATGCAGATGGTCTAAATTTTCAATACTGTATCCTATAATGCAGTGCACTTCACTCTTTAGGGACTTTGCATTTTTAGGACTTTATGGTTTTTAACATCTCTCTCTTTCTTGACTTAAAATAAGGTAGTGTACACTGCAAAAAAAAACAAATATTTTTTAGCATATTTGTCTTAATTCTTAAATTAATTCTTAAATCAAAATACTAGCACAATGACTTTAAGATATTAAGCCTTATTGTTTGAAAAAGTATCAAAACTAAGTGATTTTATGCTTAAAACGGGAAAAATACCTACCAATGAGGTCAGAAAAATACATTTAACCCTTGCACTGTACTGAAAATAATTATTTAAAAAATTGCTTGTCAGTCTCTCATTATGCTATATTATCGACAAATCTTGGGTTCAATGTTTTGATGGTTTTCTTTTTTAATTTAAAGTGCATAAGCTCAGGGTCTACGATCAATCAGTTCCAAAAAGAAATACAAAACCTGTGCTGATTGAAACAAAAACATGTTTGTTAATAATATAGCATAACTTGACATTTATAAGCTATTTTTTGGTTGGCTGGTCATGTTTGATCGGGAACATCACAAGGGAACAAATGCCAAAAACAAACACAAATTAATTAATTAATTTAAACTTTTTTATTTTTATTTGAACTTTTAGGTGGGGTTATAAGTCAGTATGTTTTATTCCAAAATCCTCTAAAAATCACAGAGAAAACAAGTTTATTATTCTGAGCTCATTGGCAGATTTAGTTTTCTTGTTTTGAGCTTAAACTCGCTTCATTTTAAATGTTTTTCTGAAAACAAGACACAATATCTTAAGCCATTTTGCTTCTCAAGTAAAGTATCTTTATTTTTGAAAATGTAGATATTTGTAGAAAACAAGTCAAAAATGATTTCTGCAGAGTAACTGCTAACAAGTTGAGCTATTTGCACTCAGTGTAAATCAACACTGCCTGATATTTAATGTGCATTATAGAATATGCAGTATATGCATTACGCAGAATGCTACACTCTAAAAAATGCTATTTTGGGTTATAAATTTGATGTAAAAATGTAACCCAACAGTTGTGTTAGTCCATATTTGACCCAAAGTTGGGTTGAAACAACCTAGCATTTTTCAGAGTGTAGTATTTCTTTCTGAACATACTCAGAGATGAAATATGGCTGCTGAAATATTGAAGAGCGCAAGGACGAATGGAGGCAGGCACTGATTGAATTAGCAGTGTTTTTGCGGATCAATTCAAGGTCACAGTGGCCTGCGAGAGGACCCAGTCAAATATTAGACGTCATAACCTGATTTAAATGAGCTTTCATCTCTCAGATGCGTTTGGTTTTCAATGCATATTGACCCAGATATGAGTGCGCTTTGTTGTAGAGACTAATGAGAACACGCCGGCCTCCGCTCGCTCTTAAATCAATAGAGTTAAGGTTAGAGTTTTAGGGGAATATTATTAGCTGAGTGCAGATTAAATGAGAACCAATAATGATTTTTGTGTTGAGAGGGTGATATTGATATCAGTAATAAAACATCTTGAAATGCTCACACAGTTGAAGAGATTGTGGTTAAAATTACATTGAACTCTAATCAATGAATCAGCATGTGTGTTGGATTTACAATAGAATTAGTATAGAGCTATAAATGAATTAGAAGAGCAGCTCAGGTCGTCTGATGAGACACATTTGAGTTCCTCTTGAAATCTCTGACTTTTGATTTGCAAATGTTGCTGAGCAGAGTTTGAGACCGAGTTGAGATCTTGTCTGAAACTAAAGAGATTATTGCAGTGTTTTTGGACATTATTGCTTGTTTTATTAAACTAGAGAAAATGTGAGAGATTGCATGAGATGTTTTAGTCTCAGTGAGAATAGGATTTGATTTCAGAATACTTGTTTTCCTTTTTTAGGTATAAACAAACAAACAAATGAACGAACAAATGAATGAATGAATGAATGAATGAATGAATGAAGGAACGAACGAACGAACGAATTAATGAATGAACGAATGAATTGAATGAATGAATGAATGAATGAAGTTGAAGAGATTGTGGTTAAAATTACATTGAACTCTAATCAATGAATCAGCATGTGTGTTGGATTTACAATAGAATTAGTATAGAGCTATAAATGAATTAGAAGAGCAGCTCAGGTCGTCTGATGAGACACATTTGAGTTCCTCTTGAAATCTCTGACTTTTGATTTGCAAATGTTGCTGAGCAGAGTTTGAGACCGAGTTGAGATCTTGTCTGAAACTAAAGAGATTATTGCAGTGTTTTTGGACATTATTGCTTGTTTTATTAAACTAGAGAAAATGTGAGAGATTGCATGAGATGTTTTAGTCTCAGTGAGAATAGGATTTGATTTCAGAATACTTGTTTTCCTTTTTTAGGTATAAACAAACAAACAAATGAACGAACGAATGAATGAATGAATGAATGAATGAATGAAGGAAGGAACGAACGAACGAATGAATGAATGAACGAATGAATTGAATGAATTAATGAATGAACGAATGAATTGAATGAATGAATGAATGAATGAATGAATGAACGAGCGAACGAATGAACGAATGAATGAATGAATGAACGAATTAACAAACGAACGAACGAATGAATGAATTAATTAATAAATGAATGAATGAACGAATCGAACGAACGAACGAACGAACGAATGAAAGAAATAAAGATGAAATTATGGTCAATTATTTTATTAGGTAATTATATCTTAATTTAAAAGTGTGTAGATATACTGTAGTAACTAGAAAAAAAACAAAATGATTAAATAAAAATGATTGATAAAGGAAACAATGTTTTGTTTGGTATAGTTTTTTCTTGTTTTAGCAGGAAACTGCATAATTTTTTGCGAGGTCTGTGCTTAAAGAAAAGTAAAATTTCAAAAAAGAAACAATTGCATAATACAAATGAAAGAATTACTTTCTGAAAATTATTTTAGGTAATTATATCTTAACTTGTAGATATAGATAACTAGAAAAAAAACAAAATGATTAAATAAAAATGATTGATAAAGGAAACAATGTTTTGTTTGGTATAGTTTTTTTTTGTTTTAGCAGGAAACTGCATAATTTTTTGCGAGGTCTGTGCTTAAAGAAAAGTAAAATTTCAAAAAATAAACAATTGCATAATACAAATGAAAGAATTACTTTCTGAAAATTATTTTAGGTAATTATATCTTAACTTGTAGATATAGTAACTAAAACAAGATTTAAAAAAAATGTAAAAATTGTATCAAATGTATTGATAAAATTACAGAAATTTCATTTTGTTAGATATAGTTTGCTTTCGATGCAACAGTCGTTATGGACGTTACATAGACATAGCTAACAAAATACTGAAGAATAAGAGAAATATTTGAGTTCCTATTAAGATCTCTGACTGTTGATTGCAAACTTTGTTTATTTTGTCAAATCTGAGCAGAGTTTGAGACAGAGTTGAGATTGTTATATTGACGTCTTTCTCTGCTGTTTTTGGACGCACTGTGTGTTTTATTGATCTGGAGAGAATATGAGAGATTGCATGAGATGTTTTAGTATAGATGAGAATAAGATTTGTTTATTTTTAAATATTTGTTTTGCTTGTTTCAAGTACAAACATCACTAGATGTTGTTAAGGCAAGTTTATGTCTATAGCACATTTCAATGGTATTCAAAGTGCTTTACATAAAATGAATTAAAATAATCATAAAAAATAATTTAAAAAATGAATTTAAAAAAACTTTTAAAATGATTAAAAAATTTATTTAAAATTAATATAATTTATGACTACACATAAAATACAGTGCAATCAGATCAATAAAAATAAATATATATTTATAAATATAACAAAAATTTAAATAAATTGAAGAACGTATAAATAAAATAATTCTCTTAAAATAAGTTTTAATATCTTAATTTTGCATTTTAGGTGATTTTATCTCCTAAATATATTGTAGATATGTATTTAGGAGATATAAATATATATCTACAATATATTTAATACCTACTACTAAATATATTGTAGAAACTTAATTGTCTGTAAAGCTGCTTTGCAATGATTTGTATGAAAAGTGCTAAATAAACTTGAATTGAATTGAATATCTTAACTGTAAAACAAAACAAAAATATTGCTGAAAGAAAGTTCCTGTTGAGATCTTTGACTTTTGATTGCAAGCTGTTTTATTTGATCAGATCTGAGCACAGTTTGAGATCTCGATGAGAGATTATTATGGGTACTATTTCTCCTTAATCTCACTGCTGAGAATTGATTGAGATGTTAGTGAGATCTCATTCCTGTCTCTCGTCTGCTGTTATATGGACGTGTTTTATTGAGCTAGAGTGAGATGTTTGAGTGAGTTAACGGCTCGTCTGTGTTTCTGCAGTGAACACGCCGCACTTTCTGCATAGCAAAGGCGTGGAGGTGAACGCCGGACAGACCGCTATGTTTCACTGCACCGTCAACGGAGAATGGAGAGACAGCTTCAACCTCCGGCTGCAGGTCAGACGCACAACTAACTGTGATGTGAACTATTACCAGTGCTGTTATAGGTTATAGCTGCTGAAGGAAGGTCGATTTGTTGCTAAGTGACGTGATGTCATTGTGTAACCACGACGCAAAATTGTGTCACAACATCAAATATCAAACATCAAACAGCAAAAAAAAAAATGGTATATGTTAATTTAGATTTGTTTTTAAAATAATATGTGACTACCCCAGCGACTTAAGACTGCTTTTGTGCTCCAGGGTCACACATGCATAATATAATATTAAAATATAAATAACTGTATTTTTAAGTTTTTTTTTTTGTCTTAATAGCTAGTAAACTAGTAATACTACACATTCTCAACAATTATGCTTTAAGCAGTGTATTAGGAGTTAGTTAGTATGCTACACTCTAAGAAAAGTCTGTAAAAATATGGCACAATCTACTAAGTTAATATGAAAGAATTTTCCGTATTGGTTTTTTTCCTGCATTTTAAATTACGCATTGTGTTTTCGGGTTACAGGGTTACAAAGGATGATGGATAATGGATAATGTCCTGAAAGATTTTCCATTTTTCTTACAGTGTACTAACTGTTCAAAGTAAATTCTACATCAGTTTTTTTGTGTGTAATTTGGGTTTCATGCAGTTATGTGGATATATAATGAAAAATCCTAGCCATAAATTTGTAAATAATAACATTTCATATTATACAGTTGAAGCCTTTTTCAATACCATTAAGATTATTAAATTGAACAATTGCAAATAGCAGCTAACTCAATTCACGTGATGTGTGGACTGCTAGGCATCTTTGGTTTCCTCTTTTTGTGTGATTTGGATGGAAAATGTGTACCTTTTTATTGTCTGAGTCACTTATCAAACGTTGCTAAAAGTTGCCAAATACATTTTTAAAATTGCTACATTTGTTGCTAGGTGCTTTTGGAAGAAACAGTTGCTTGGGTAAGTCGGAAAAGTTGCAAAATTTTGCAACAAAATTGCTAAGTTGGTAACACTGACTATTACTGCATTAGTAATAGGGATGTAACGATATTATCAATATCGCGATATCAAAACGGTATCGATATTATCGTGGTCACATGACGATATGAAACGATAGGTAAGCGTGTTTTCACTGAAGCTGGAGTTTCCTTCAAAATAAAAGCTTAAAGGGGTCATATGATGCTTTTTTAAAGATCATTATTTTGTGTATTTGGTGTAACAGAATATGTTGACATGCTTTAATGTTCAAAAAAACATGTTGTGGTATTTTTCAAATACTGTAATCAGCTTGTAACACTCCAAAGAGAAAGGAAAACTTGAAATCGCATCATATGACCCCTTTAAAAGTGCAGCATGAATTTCTGACAGCTAGCGGTTTAAATGCAGTCCAAATTCAAAGTCAAAGTGTAGAAATTAGGAAAGAAGTATTGCAATTTCCCTACTCCTAGTGTAAAGCAAAAATAATATACATATTCATTTTCGTTTATTTTACAGTGCAATTGTTTTACAATATGTGGCTACTACTGTCACTGTTGTTGTTGTTATTATTATTATATTCTAATTTGTTTGGCTTCTAAAACAAATGTAATTGAATGTAATTTAGGCTGAGACAGTAGATCACAAATAAAGAGTCCTCTTTAAAGTTCAGCTACAAGTCTGTACTTTTTCTGACTTAGGTTTTCTTAGTTAAGAAACATGGGTTGGAGCTCTTAATTTTGAGCTCTCAGAGTGCATTAGATAGAATAATCTTTAAAATGTACAAAATTTAAATTTTTTCATTTGTCTTTTTTTTCTTTTGAAATATCGCAATAAATATCGTATCGTGGACTTTGTAACGCAATAATATCGTATGGCGAGGTTTTGATATTGTTAGTAATGATGACTTCATCATCTGCAGACCGCAGCACGTGTGTGTTAATGACTAATGAAGAAACAGCAGCTCTTCCCCTGATTTCTCTAAGAATCCGCTCTGAATGTCCCGCAGCAGAGCGCCTCATTAAACCCAGAGGCTCGTTTAGGGCCTCATCTGTCCTCTGGGACGCGTGACGGTTCGGCATCATTAATGAAGTTGCGTTGAGTTTGCCTTTCTTCTCACACGCAGAAGCTCTGATGCTGTAATGTCGTTACATTCTATCAGTAGGCTATTTTTGTTTTCTAAACCTCCTTTAAAAACAAAATACATTTACTTAAGCAAAATTGTCTAGTAAGATTTTTTTTAAATGTATATTTTGCTTTAAGTCAGTTTTTACTTGTGAAATATGTATCAGATACAATTTTGTGAGACGTATGCGTAAAACAAACAAAAATACAATTTATGAAAAATAAAACAATTATTATCTTACAATAAGTTTTAATGTATTATGGAGTTTTACATTTTAGGTAAATTATATCTTAACTTAAGGGCGTGAAGATATAGTAACTGTAAAACAAGACAAAAGTATTGAATACAAATATTAATAAAGAATTTTTTTGTTTGATATACACTGTAAATATTATATATATATATA